CACAGACTCAGGCTCCCCTGAAGCCCTCCTGCCACTCCTGGGCCCTGGACCAGCCTCTTGGCTGGTCTCCCTGCCTCCAGCCCTCCCTTCATGCTGAGTTGTAACTTCCCCTCATCTTCACCATCAAGTCCAGACCAGGCACTCTGGCCTGCCAGGTAAAAGCCAACTGCAGACTCAGCCAGGCTGCTCTTACCCCCCACCCCTCCCCTACCCCGGCTGCCTGCCCTGCTCTTCGCTCCCAGTTCAATGCTCCCAGCATCTCCTGGACAGAGCCCACACCCTCCTCCATCATGCGAGGCCCAGCGCATCCGCCTCCTCCGTGTACCCCCCTCGGATTTCCCCCTTCCTTGTGATCCCCAGCACTTACATCTGCCCCGTGCTCTCAGTGTTAGGATTCTGCTCTAAGTTGCCAGGAAAGTGAGATAACTTCCGAGAGGCAGCTAGCTCGGTGCTGGGCACACGGCAGGTGCTCAGTAATTACGTCCTAGATGATGGGTTCGTTTATCCCTTTATCTGATGGGTATAAATTAGGTGTGTGAGCCATATACAAATATGCCTCTTTGATCACACCTATTTCACGTGCTGCCACTCTCCTGCCTCAGAAAGACACTCTGTGAGTTTGATCTGCATGTTAGTTAATGAGTCATTATAAGATCCTGTCTTTAAACAAAGGCCAAAGAAGAGGAGAAAAAAAATGAAAGCATCAGTACATTGTGCAGTGGGGGCTGTCCCAACACTGCAATGTTAGTCTGTTGTACGGTCTACTTGCTGTAATTAGCTCCTGCGTTAGGGTCAGATGCTCTAAAATTCAGTTCACATCAATGGCTGCTCTAACCAGTGATGTGAATCATTTTATGACTCTGGGTTCTGGCCTTCAAAGCAGTATTTTCCCATTACAGACATAATAATCCTACACTCCCTCTTTTGGAGGTGGCTTGGTGAGCCAGTGTCCTCTGCCCCGAGGCTGGCTGGAAGGGGGTGATGGTGGCGAGAGTGTGCATCCAGGGTCATCACTCCCTGCAGAGGCCAGGCCCCTCCTCCTGCAGAAGGCACTGTGGCCTTGCCGGATTTTATATGCAGCAAGTGTTTGCCAAGCTGCTGGGATTCAGCAAAAGAGCTGAGGGAAGATTTGGGAGGGTCAGTCATGGTGGCTACCCAGTGGAACCGAGACCTCTCTGGGGCAGCTGTGAGGCAGTGAGCGGCAAAGAGCCTGGCCTCTGGCTGCCTGGTGAGGTCCAGTTCTACCACTCAGCTGTGTGATCTAAGGCAAGTTGCCTAACATCTCTGGGCCTCCATTTTACGAATGGTTTTTCCATTCGTAAAATGGAGGTATTCCTAGCAGCGGTTGTTGTGAGTTTCCCTGAACTGATGTGTCCTAACTGCTCCAAACAGTGTCGAGCACGTGGTAAGGGGTCCGTGCTTGCAGTGAAGAAATCCCATAAGAGAAGATGATCAAAAACTGTGATTAAGTGTCTCAAAGAATCTCCTCGACCGGGGGTCGGCAGACTCACCCCTGTGGGCCCAAATTAGTTCATTGCTTGATTTTGTAAATCGCATGCATACTGTCTCTGGCTGCGTTCATGCTACAGCAGCAGAGGTCGGTAGTTGAGACAGACATCCTATGGTCTGCACAAGGCAAAACAGTTACTCTCTGGCCCTTTACAGAAATGGTTTGCCAGTCTTATGTTCTAGACAGTAACTCCAGTGGGGGACCGAGGGCCTAGCCATTGGTAGGTGCTGGAGAACTGGGAAGGGTTTGGAAAATGTTGTCTGGTTCAGCACTTCTGAGCCTCTGGCCTTTGCCTGGTACAGCGACAGGCAGGGGCATCAGAGACAGGGAGACCTGGCCCCTGCGCACCCCCTGCCCCTGGAAGTTCCCAGTGTAGTGGAGGAGCAGGTAAACCGATCAGTGCCAGTGCAGCAGGTAAGTGCGGACCCAGAGGTGAGGAAGTTATGGGAGCACCTGGAAAAGACGGGCCTCAGGGAGGAGACATTGCTAGCGGAGCCAGCAGGGAAGGAGGGGTCTGTGCCAACCAGAGTTGTGAACGGGCCAGTATGAGGGGATGCCCAGGAGCTCAGGGAGCCACACAGGCTTGCAGTGAGGAGGGCCCCAGGGAGCAGATGCCCTGGGTCCCTCGGTGTGCATCTGGCTGGGAAATGGTGACGTCAGGACAGGACCAGGGAGGAGGAGAGGGGAAGGAGATTCCGGGCCGAGCAGATAGTCCCACGATGATGCCATTGGCCACCAGGGAGCGTGAGGGGTGAGCTGGCCTGGCAGTGGGACAATCAGAGGGGCGAAGGCATCCCCACTCACTGCCAACCATTCCATGCCATCCCTCCTTCTGAGCACACCTCAGCCGCTGCCTGCTGCAGGCCCACCTTCCCCCTCCCCCCACGTGACTGCCACAGCCCAGAGATGGCTCTCCTGGTTTCCCACCATCCCTCAGTGCTGTTGCTCCGAAAACAAAAATCGTGCGTCACACCTTTGCTCACAACCCTTCCATCACTTCCCCTTGTCTTTAGGGCAAAGCCCAAATCATGACCGACAGCAGGACAGACAGCATTTCCTACTCTGCTCCTCCCACTTCCTCCCAGCACCAGCCTCCACTCCCCTCTGCATTCAACCACTGCAGATCCGTTTGGAGTCTCTGATGAGTCTCGTGTCCCACACCTTTGCCCGTTCGCCTACCCTGCTCTCTCTTGACGGCTCTCCCTTCCTTACCCATTTAGCTAACTTGGGTTCATCTCCCAAATTCAGCCCCGGCTTCATTTCTTCTGGGAAGCGTCCTTTAACATTTCTTCCGGCCTCCACTTTACTGTTCTGTGCTCACGGGCGTTCTTATACAGAGATGCTCCTCTCTGAGAACGCCGTGCCCAGTGTGGAGGGGCCCTCGGACATGGCAGCCGGGCTGATGAATCAGTGTGGCAGCAGGTGGTTCCTGAGGTCCCTGAAGGCACCAGGGAGTGAGGCTGTGCCAGCACCCCGCCGGTATGTGGGTTTGCACAGAGGAGACCTGCACAATGAGAAAGAACCATCCATGGAACTCTACTTCTTGAGTCGTAGAATAGAACACAGAGGAACACCTCCAGCCTCCCCACTGGGCGATGGAAGATCTTCATCACACTGGAACCGCAGATGAATGGAGAAAGAAGATGTGGGAGAGACCTACAATGGAATATTACTCATCCCTTAAAAAGAATGAGATCTTGCCATTTGCAAGGACATGGATGGAGCTAGAGAGTATACTGCTGAGCAAACCAAGTCAGTCAAAGACTAGTACCATATGATTTCACTCATACATGGAATTTAAGAAACGAAACAAATGATCATCGGGGGAAAAAAAGAGAAAGGCAAACCAAGAAACAGACTCTTAACTCTAGAGAACAACCCGATGGTTCCCAGAGGGGATGGAGATAGGGGAGGGGGGAACGGGGGAAGGGATTGAAGAGCGCACTTGTTGTGTTGAGCACCGGCTACGGTATGGAAGTGTGGTATCACTATATTTTACCCCTGAAACTAACATTACACTGTATGTTAACTAACTGGAATTTAAATAAAAACTTTTTTTAAAAAATGAAACAGACAAAAAGAGGCCCAGATTAGCCATTAGGAGTGGTGTTCCCTGTGTCCCATCTTTGTTCATGGCACCACCTCCCACCCGTCCAGGGACCCACAGGTCATCCTGAATCCCTCCCCCTCCCTTGGTTCCCGCACCCATGCAGTCACAAAGCCCTAAATACTGCTAAGACCTGTCTCTCTTCTCCATCCCCACCGCCCTCCTCCATCACTCACTTGGACGGGAACCCTCCCCACCACCTCTGGCCTTGCTCCTGCCACATCTGTTTCTACACAAGCTGCCAGACTGACGTTTTTCTCAAACACCAATGTGCCCCTGTCTCCCACTGTTTGAAACTTTTCTTACCCACCTCCCCCGCCCCCCGCGAATAAGCCCCAGCTCTTTGGGCCAGAGGAGATTTTAAGACTCTTTGGACTTAGCTCCAGGCAACTTTCTCAAGTTCTGGACCTTCCTGAATCCCCTCCTTGCACTGAAGGCCCAGCCACATTGTCCCCCAGAGTGAAACAGCCAGCAGCTGTGCTCACTTTGCAGACCTTCCATTGACAGGCAGTCAACACTTGTTCTGGAATGTCCCATCTCTGCCGAAACTCAGGCCCTGTGCATCTGACTCCTTAGGATGGCCCCCTCCATCCCCCAGCATCCCCCTGTGGCCTGACCGTCTTCCTGAGCCTTCAGAACCCTCAGACAGCACCCTCACGGACAGACCTCCTCCAGCCCCCACCGCAGGCTCCATGAGCCCCAGGCTGCTCTGTGCACCTACAGCCCTCACTGGAACACCTGCCACCCGGCAGGGGCTTGGTGGTTCTCGGTGTACATTCTGTCACCAAGGGCAGGGACCGTGCTCACTGTTGAAACCCTACCTCCCAAGTTTGGCACATGGTGTGTGCTTAGTAAATATTGTGTAAGGCAGGACTAACACAAATTAAGAGAGAAGAATCTTATTGAAACCTCCTTCCTGGAACATTCATTTATTCAACGAATAAACAAAAGAGGATAGAGAAAAGCAGGCAGAGGAGAGGCTAAGAGAAACTTCTGCAAGTCCCCAGGGGCCGGCAAGATGGCTGAGATTCCACATGTGGCTTGAAAAATTGCCACCAAGTCCAGGGGGACTTCTGTGCATTAAAGCATGAAGAGAGAATCTAATCTTCTCACAGCCAGCCAGATGTGCCTGATGTTGCCATGGCAGCCCCCAGAATTGGCCAGATGTGCTGTGAACATCTTTGGAAAACATCAGGGGACCCCAGAGGCCGTAAGGCCTGGAGAGAAATAGTTCACACTACAAAAGGTGGTGTGGAAACACTCCGTTTGAGGTGGTGTCCCAGGGACTCTGGGCATCGGGACCTAACGAGGGGACTTCTCAGAGCTGTATGAGTGTCTCCCGGAAGCCCCTGCCTGCTCCCTAACCCAGTGCTCCCTCCCCAGGTGATCAAGCTGGCCTTTGAGGACTTTGACTTGGAGAGGGGCTATGACACCCTGACGGTCGGGGACGGCGGGCAGGACGGAGACCAGAAAACTGTTCTTTATGTGTAAGTGAAGCGGGGCTGTGGTCCGGAGGACGGGGAGCACAGGGTCCTGGCCTGGGGGTGGTGGGATGGTGCGCCGCGTCCTGTCTGGTCCCCAGGGCCACGCCGCATCAAGCCAGGGGACCAGCCCCTCTCCTCTGACTGAAGGAAACAGAGCACTGGCCACATTCTCTCTAGGAACTCCCAGGAAAAGTGGGCAGAAGGAACAGTTTCTCAGGGAGGAGGGGAACTGAGGTCCTGGGTGTGCGCCTGGAGCATTCTATGTGGTGGGCTGCTTCTGCGCAGCCCCTGCTTCTGCCACCCACCGGTTTCTCCTCAAGGCCATGTCCGTCCATGGCAGTCTCACTTCAGACAGAGACGGTGGATGTGTGGTTGCTGACCTCCCTGCAAGCTCAGAACTATCTGGGAAATGAATGGTGTCGGGGATTCGGGACCCCGTACACACAGTGGCCACAATTCGTGAGCCAAAAAAGGCTCACATGGTCTAGTCAAGGGAGAGGATAATGCCGCACTGTCCTGGGATTCCATTCTGTTGGATCCTCCTTTGCCCGCCACCGTTAGCCTGACATAAACACGGGAGAACACTCTTATTCAGTGCATGTGGCCCGGCACAGATGGCCTGATCTCTCTCATCTCCCTTACCCAGATGGGTGGGGTGGGGAAGTTTTCCTATACACTGAACATCCATTGTGTGCCCAGGCACTGGGAAGGGAACTTTCACATCAGATATCTCATTTAGTTGTGTCATTATCCCCATTTAACAGGTGGGGAAACTGAGGCCCAAAGGTTGCAAAGCTGGTTGGTGGCAGAACCAGCACTTGAGTTCATGCCTTTTAACTTCAGTCCAGGAAAGCATCCCATGCCATACCCCTTCCCCAACAGGCTAGCCCCAGGCCAATGCCCTCTGGTTTTCATGCTGAAGGAGAAATGGCTATTCAGTCCTAGCTGCCTTGTGCAGGAGCTGTTCTGCTCTGGGCACTTCCCACACCTTCCCCACACCTGCCAGAGAAGATCCTTTCAGGGCAGTTAAAGGACTCACGACGTTACCCTCAGAATCAGGTGACATGGCTGGGACTTGGAATCTCCTAGGAGAAAGGAATGGGATGTGAGCCTGAAGGGCATCCTCCCCCCACCTATTCCACTGTATTAATCAGGATTCTCCAGAGAAACAGAACAATAAGATAGACACAGAGAGCCCGGGATTTAGTATAAGGAATCGGTTCACATGATAATGGAGACTGACAAGCCCCACGATCTGCAGGGTGGGCTGGCAAGCTGGGGCCCAGGAGAGCTGATGATGGCCTTTTAGCCCAAAGGCCAGTGGGCTCTAGACCCAGGAAGAGCTGATGTTTCCGTTCAAGTCCAAGGCAGGAAAAAGGAAAAAAAAAAAAAAAAAAAGCAACGTCCCAGATGGAAGTCAGGCAGGCAGAAAGAATTCTCTAAAAAAAAAAAAAAAAATAGCCTTTTTGTTCCATGCAGGCCTTCAACTGATTAGATGAGGCCCATCCATATGGGGAAGGGCAATCTGCTTTATTCAGTCTACCAATTTAAATGTTAAAGTCCTCCAAAGGCATCTTCACAGAAACAGTCAGAATAATGTTTGGCCAGATATCTGGATACTCCATGGCCCAGTCAAATTGACACATAAAATTAGCCATCATACTCAACTTTCTCCTCTGGCTCATCCCCATCACTCACCTGCCCTGTATGGTGCTCAGAAGGCCAGGGTCCTGGTTCTGTCTCCTCCCAGGACAAAATCCTAGTGAGCTCTGTCAGAGAGAGAACCTTAGAACAGCAGAGCCAGAAAGATTCTTACAACCCAATCCTCTCATTTAACATGAAATGAAAAATCCCAGAGTGGCTCAGCCACTTGCCCTGGGCCCCACAGCAAATGAATGGCAGCTCCAGGGCTTACACTCAGGTCTCTGTAAGTTTTGAGTGAGCTCTCAACGAGTTCTATAACAGCCCAGGGGCTCTCCCACCACCCTCAGATCTCTGTAGGTCAGCATCCATCTCAAACTTCAGGGAAACGCATGGCAAAATTGCTGGACTCCTTTGTTGTCAGAATTGGGTCAGATGGACTCTGCCACCCTAGAGTTAGGAGCCAGCCCTGGCTTGGCCTCAATCCTTACTCACTACAGAATGCCAGCACCCTAGCCCTGCAGTGTCACACGGGCCAGGCCAATGTGCCCCAGGTGTCTATCCCAGCTCCACCCCCACAGCACTCACACGGTGCTGATCATCTCATACAGCCAACTCAGTGCCCCCCACAAGCTTTGAGACCCCAGAATGGAGCAGACTTTAAGACCCATGAATCCAATCACACCTTCCACCACCGCCCCCTGGTCTGTGCTGGTGATCTGTTTGGTCTCAGCAGCAAGAGGAAGCCAGGTTCCTTCTGGAAAGCCCAGCCTCTGCTGTGGACTCTGGCTCTGCCACTCTCCATCAGGCTGACCTTGGGAAAGCCACTGCCCATTTTGCACCCTTATCTTCTCATCCAAATGGTGGGGATAACACAACCCCTACCTCACTGGGCTACTGGGGTCATTAAATAAGAGAACGGAAGGAAAATTATCTGGCTTGGATAGGTATTTGGTTAATGTGAGTTGAATCCTCCCCATGCTTAAACTCTGTTCTTCAGAAAGAATGTGGCCCCAGAGTGACCGGTGTACTTTAAGCCTTGCTTCATATATGGAAGCAGATATTTCCATGTGGAACGGAAAGAGATGTCTCATTAAAAGGGATGGCTGGGATCAATTAGGGAAATGGGTTTCTGTCTGTGTCTTTTTTGCAGTAGTTCACGTGAGAAATCAAAGGTAGCAGGAGTGTAGACACCCCTGCAGTAGATGTGGCTACACCTAACCCTGGCCCCTGAGAAAGCAAGGACACAGGTCTCCCTCGCAAGCCCAGGGGTCTGGGCTAAGGGGTCATGGGTAAACACAAGCCCTGCCCGTGGGCGGACGGGAGAGGTGGTGAGTCTCCCAGCCGCTGGATCACATGCCTCTGGGCTCCAGTGTTAAACACCGTGGGCCCTGAATTCGCCTGACTGGGCAGGGCTCCTAGTCATTCTGTGGGGTGCCAGAGTCGGGGGCACATCTCTAAATCTCACTCTCCTGACAGCCTGACAGGTACGTCGGTCCCAGATCTCATTGTGAGCACCAACCACCAAATGTGGCTCTTGTTCCAAACCGATGGCAGCGGCAGCTCCCTGGGATTCAAGGCTTCTTACGAAGGTAACTGCTGTTGGGGGGCTTATCCACTCACTCTGCAGTCAGACTTGGGGTCCGGATGTGGAGTCAGCAAGCCCTGGGTTCGAATCCTGATTGTGTCCCGCACTAGCTTCCTCTCCTTAGGCATATTATTCGACCTTATTGAGCCTCAGCTTTCTTTGGCCAGTGGGTCTCCTGGATTGTTTTGAGGATTATCTGGGATAAATCACTTGAGGCGCAGGTCACACAGCACCAAGGGCATACATTAGTTTCATCTGCAACTCATACCTGGCTTGTGTAGACCTTTAAAAGACACCATAGACTTTTGGAGCTTCCCAAGCTGCCATACTTGGATGTCATATAGTGCTGAGTGACTGTGCATGGGGCTAGGGACAGACATACACCACAGGTGGCCTGAGGAGGATATAGAGGAGGGTGACTTGAATCTCCCTGGGAACCAGCATTAAGGGAACAGTGAACTCTGGGTCCAGGAGATACCACCACCATCATCAGCCTTCTGTGTGCTTCCAGATTTCCCATTGGTGATGACTGCTAATGCCAATCCCCGCAGAAAGGGGAGCAGAAGCCATCCCCCGAGCATTTGGTTGGCAGATTTGGTAGGTGGCAGAGCTTAGCCCAGCACTCAGGGAACAGATGCATCAGATCTGAGCCCTTGCAAGGGGTCTGCACTCCAGGGGTGAGACAGAGGAGGAAACACACGAGCTATTATTAAAGCAAGATATCTGTGGCCAACAGCCAGTGGGAGCACGGAGAAGGGGGTGGTCATCCCGTGTGCGGCATCTAGAAAGGCTCTATCGAGAAAGTGAGCCTTGGGTCTTGAAAATGACTCAGAGAGACAGGGGGCAAGGGATGAGAGAGAGGAGGTCTTTCTCCACCCCCGTTCAGAGACCTGATAACTCTACATGAGATGAGTTGGGGGGGAGCAACTCCAAAAGGCTCTTATTCTGCTCAGTGTGACCCCCACCCCCAGGGACCAGGAGTTCTTCCTGTACCAGGACCTGTACTGTGTCTCCAAGCTGGGGACACAGGAGGCCTGTCAGTTTCCTCCAGCTACTTTGACAAAGGACCACACACTGCGGGGCTTAAAACAACAGACACCTCTTCTCCCTGGGTTCCGGAGGCTGGGACAGCGAAGGTCCTTTTCTAAGAACAAGAAGCACGTGTCGAGGGGAGACAGAATAGCAGCCAGAGAGGACCAGTGGGGTGACAAGTGCTGAGTTCACATCCCTGGTTCTGTCCCTCTCTGGCCCCATGCCAGGTCAGGGAGTCTCCCTGGGGCTCTGTTTCTTCATCTGAGACATGGAGGCAATAATACGCCCTAGGTCCCAGGGCTTCTGTGAAGAGTAACTGTAGCCAAGGATGTGAAAATAAGAATTGCACTGCAATTATGGGTGACTAATGAGTGAGGACACAGGTAGTTAAGCAAATGGCTCTTCGGGTACATAGAGTTACACACACGCAGCTGGGGGCCGGCAGAGAGGAATCAGGAGTCCCCAATTCAGGGCCAAGCTCTGACACTCACTACTTGGAAAAATGGGAATGGATTTGGACTCAGAGTTTCAAAAGTTTCCCCCATGTCTGAAGTTCCCTGGATGTTCAGCAGTGAATGTTTCCAGAAGTGGGGAGGAATGATCCTGTGTGCCACCCACCTGCCCTTAATCTGTCCATATTTTATCAATGGTGTAGATGAGCCATAAATAGCATGAGCCGGAAAGGGATGGCAGTCAGCAGTCAGCAAACAAATGGGCAGAAAGACCTTGACGGGGTAGAGCTACTGGCTAAGTCACCAGGATAAGAGGAAGTGGGAATAAATAGCAAGTCCTCTGTGAGGGTTCGAAAACTTAGCAGCTAGAATTTACCCCAGGGAGTTAGTGATGCTTGATTCTCGGGCATCGAGAATTGGGCTTAATTGTGGGGTAGGGAGAGGGCTGAAGTCAAACCCTGTGAGAAAGGTTAAGAGCCCCCTGAAAGTTCATTCGGGAGAAGAGTGGACTCGGGGGAGAGCTGAGAGCTGTGTCTAAATATCTGAAGGGCTGTCATGCAGGAAAGAGGAATTAGATTTGTTTGGCATGGTTTCACCGGAAAAGAAAGGGACAGAACAGTGAACGCCCGTTATGTGCCGGAAGCTTTATGCTAATTTTCTCAAGGTTTTCAAACAGTGTCACGCAAACATTTGGCGTACCCTCAGGGACCACCAAGGTCGGGTAGGGGTTGCCTAGCAGGGCAGGCTCTGATCCTGCCTTCTCCCTTCTTCTCTTCTGTTCCTTGTAAGCCTTCTTTTAAGAGGGGATTTGTAGCTACACACCGGTCTGAGAAACTCTGCCTCATCTCATTCAGTGTGACAGCTAGCCAATGGCTGCTCTTTTGTACCTGAGGAATCTGAAACTCAGAAGGGTGGAGTGTCTGCCTGGGGTCACATGAAGTCTGGGACCTGGAAGAGCCGAGATTCAACTCCATGTCTCGCTGGCTTCAAAGCCCATGATGTTTTCCCCCCTCTACCAGGGATCTCCAAAGTGACAGAATTTCAATTCCTTATAAAATCTCTTAGAAGCCAACACTTTGCCCCAGTCCCATGAGCCATATGGCATGAGTCTGGGCTCCTCGTTACTAGCAGTTGGGGTTTTGTTCCTCAGCCCATGTGTCTACCTCGCCCAGCCAGTAGTGATGACCAAGATGATGCTGGGGGCTGGGATTACAGCAGGGAGCCACACGGACTAGAACAGAAAACTAAAGCAGTCGAAAAACATCCACAGTGGGACTGCTGGTCACAGACTAGGGACGTCCTCCTCGGACTCGTGACAGATGAGGAAGAGAGTCTGGGCATGTCTGTACATTGTTAATCCAACGGTCCAAGTGGGTCCTGCTCACAGAGGCAGCTGTTTCTGTGAAGATGGAACAGACTCTGGAATTGGGCCAGACCTGGTGAATTCCAACATCATCCCAGCTGTGGGATTGGCCAAGTTCTGTGGTCTGTCGGAGCCTCAGTCTCCCACTCATAAAACGGAAAGGATAGTGGTGACTATAACGCCTTGTGAAGAAAGTGAAATGGGGTTCCAGAGAGCTCCTTGCGCAGTCCTGGCTCAGAGAGCCGTCTTCCCTGGGGGCCACTGAGGTTCCTCTGCACCCAAGCCCTTGCTGATCAGCACTGTTCCGCACTCCGGGCGTATCCCCTTCTGCCAGGGAACAGAGCTCCTTGCCTGTCCTGCGGGTGGCCTGGCGCTGGGTCCCCACCTCCCACCTGCACTCCACAACCAGGGCGCCCACTCCCCAGACCGGCTGGGAAATGAAATGGTTCGCTCTGGCCACAGCGTAGGGAGGGGAGGCAAAAGTGGTAGGAGGCAGATCCAAGTCACTGAGAGACTTGGCCTCAGAAAGAGTTTGCACTTTGTCTCCAGGGAAGAAGAACCTGTAGAAGTTTAAATGTAGGAATGGGCCTGCCCTTCCACCTTGGACCTTTTATTCGAGGGTAAAAGCCGTCCGTCTCTTGCCTTCACGATGAAGAGCCCCCTCTACTGTGAATAAAGCTGGGTCGGTTAAGTCCCCTGGCATCCTGATGTGGCTTCCCATCCTGCTCTCTGGGCTTCTGTCACCTGCAGCCTCCTGATCGTCTGCCACCCCTCTGGCTGCTCCCTCGGGGCTTCTGCACGGCCGCTCGTGACCCCCACAGAGCAGGCACTTCCGCAGGGTCTCTCCTCAGCTTTCCATCTTCTTTTTCAGGATTGCATCTACTCCCATGGCTTCCAGCTCAATCTAAACACTGGTGACTTCCAAATCTGTTCCCCATTTGCATATCGGTCTCCCTGTGACACATTTTATACACTTCTCCTTCAGACACCTCAAACCCAAGGCATGTGTGCTAGTCTGCACGGGCAGACATAACCAAATACCATAGACTAGGAGCTGAAACAGAAGTTTATTTTGTCACAGTTCTGAAGGCTAGAAATCCGAGATCAAGGTTCTGGCTGATTCAGTCTCTAGTCTGGGCGGCCTTGTCACTGTGTCCTCACCTGGCCTTTCCTTGGTGCTTGCACAGGGAGAGAGGGAAGGAGCACAAGCTCTCTGGTGTCGCTTCTCATAAGGACACTAATCCTATCGGATATGGGCCACACCCCTATGGCCTCATTTAGTGTTTATTACTTCCTTAGAGTCCCCATCTCCAAATCCACCCTCCAAATCCTAACCTCCTTTGAGGTTAGGACTTCACCATATGAATTTGGGGAGGCACCAACATTCAGTCCATTAATACCATCCAAACTGAGCTCACCATCTCCATTTATGGTAATTCCAAGCCATGTTCCGGCTCCTGAGAACCCATTCTAGGCAGAAATACAGTATGTTCATCTCTTCAGGCCTGCAGGACTGAGCCCAGTGCCTGGCACATGTCGTGTGCTCAGAAAAGCTCTCAGATTAAGTTGTGATGACTTTCTACACAAGCACAATCAAGCACCCTTCCTCCATACCCTCTCAGCTTCCCAGCACTCTAAGGCAAGAGCCAGGCATTCTCCATTGTCCCATGGCTTTGGGGTCAGACAGACCCAATTTGTAATTGAGTTCTGCCATTGGCTCTGTGTGTGGTCTTCGCCAGTCCCTCCACATCTTTGAGCCTGGGTATTCTCACCTGTGAAGAGGGGCTGATAAACACTGATCTCACAGGGGTCTTCCGAGGGCTCGGTGTTGTGAACCTCCCAACACTTTTAGGAATTTAGGGCCGGCATTTAGGAAACACTCAGTTAAAAGCCCACTCCCTCCCCTGCTTCCCTAGGCCTACAGCTCCTCTCCCAACCTGCACCCGTGGCCCAAATCTTTAGAACAAACTCCATCCCCACTCTAGTCCTCCTTTTATCCAGCTTCTGGGGGATCCCATACAGGATAGACACCTTGGCTCCGCGATGGAAGGGTAGCTGCAGCATAGATGTTCTACAGGTGACATGAGGCATTTGTGGGTGGAGACCGCTCCCGGGCACTCCTGGCCCCATCATCATCAATACACCTTCCGCCCCAGC